TTCATATGTATTCTTATTCTAATTTAATTCAACGATGCAGTACCCTTGATCTTTTTATTACCCTCCCCTCCTTCCATACTTGGCTCGACAGGTGGTGGTCCAGGGAATCCATTAGGAAAGAGAACTTTCTTGGATTGAATAATGATATGGGTAAAGACGCGTGCGTTGATGCGAGAATAGAAAAGATGAGGTATCAATCTTTGTCGAGGTTAGCGGTCGGATTCTCCGAGTATAGGACATATACGTACTGGTTAAGAAACGGTACAAAGAATCCCACGATTAGCTGGAGCAACACGAGTATGGCGGTGGTCGCCGAGCGCCGTCGCATAGTCAATACTTCGGCCAACATCTCAACGCTAGGAGTTGCGAGGTCTCTTCTGGTAGGGTCGGTTCGATATTTTCTAGGAGGTGCCTTCTTCACGTCGGCGATGGTCTGCAGACAAGCTTGTACCCCAGATATGGCCGCTAATGCAAACCCAGAGATACTTTGTACAGCCGATAAAACGAATACGACCACTAGATTGAACGTAGACTTTGCGCGAGCTGGAGCAGGTGGCTGATCGTCCTTTTCAGTCTAGGTGCAACCATGAGAAGGTTCCAAAGGCTCACCGGAGCAACAAAATCATTTGGTGACCCTAATAGTTCTAGTAAATTCTTTTGTATAAACCACCCTTGACTCAATCGAGGGAAAGCATTTTCCAGGATAATTTTGACAATGATTTCCCGTACGATGCTGCGCTCTGTCTCCGACTCCCAGTCTTCAGGTGGAAGACAAGCCTTCATGACATATTCTACGGCTTGGCGTATGTAGTTTGGATCTATTCTGCCCTCTGCGGAAATTGCCATATGCGGTTGAAGTGAATGGAAAATATGGGCCAGTGGATCGTTGTCAGACGGTAGCCCAGTTACATACGATGTCGCTACCTTGGCAGAAGCAGTATGATAGTCGGCATAGTGTTGTTTAAGGAGTGTCGGTAGGACATTTGCCAAGAGGAGAGGCACGTCTGCAACCATGACACGGTCCTCTACCTGCCTTAACACGTGGGTTATAATCCGTGTGACTTCCAGAGGAAACTCTCTGTCCCTTGGACTGATCTTCATCCACCATGGAAAGATGAACCCGCGGACGGAAAGGGCCAGGAAGTCGTACAGCTCATCGTTGAGGGCTTGAAGGGCTGGGTTTGTGTTTGTGTTCGATTCCAATACATCACCCTCTGTGAATCCAGTTATGATTTGAGGAAGCGGCTGAGATGGATGGTGGAATGGAAAGAGCAAGCGACGAGCTAAGCTTGCATTGACCGTAGCATTACTGGTTTTGGATCCACCAGAACGAACAGATGTAGTTCGGCCGTGAAAGACGATATGGCTTCCTACACTGCGCCGCGATGCCATGGCAGGCGACAGGAAGTTGAAACTCCGCTTCTGTCTTTGAGGTTTTCCTCTGCCACCTTTTGGACCACCTCTCATCGCGATGTGTGGAATCGTATTCACAATTTACCAAGATGAAAATACACGAAAGGAAGAGGAGTGGAGGTCTTTAGTTCGCTTGAATGCCCAGCGAGGTTAGAGAAAGTAATCTTCAACCAAGATATGGTGACTTAAAACCGGGTTAGGACCAAGCACTCAAAGAGAGATTAAAATTCAGGTCGAAATGTATAATCTATGCGTATTCAGCTCTGTTCTTCATCTCCGAGGAGACGAAGTGACCATGCAGCCACACGAGCGGGATGGTAATATATTCTGCTGGAATGGAGAGGTGAGCCGCACCATTTCCGGATGGAAAGTGATTAACACTTTCCTTTAGATCTTTGAGGGTGTCGATGTTACAGCCCATGAGAACGATGGAATGAAACTCTTTGATCAACTTTGTCAACCAGATGCGACTGTTACCGATATCTTAGGAACAGTTGAAGGACCGTGAGAGGCATTTATCCTCTCCTGCAATTAAGGTGCTCAGGACCTTGCAGCTATGCTTTTGTTTTCTATCAGGTGAACCACGCAAGTGTATTCCAAGCAGTCTACGTACTAATATCATAACCATATTAGCATATTACAAAGACAGTATATTTTGGAAGGGATCCCTTGGGTAGACGATCTCTCGTGATCAAACACGCCGCAGATGCAAGTCAGAGCTTTACATTAACCTCAGTATCTAATGGAGACCAAGGATTCGAAGAACTGCCCGCAGATTGTCTTTTTTCACTTTCTCTCACTAAACCGGTCATTAATCTATTTTGAAGCATTTTTGTGCGCTCACCATAATTACAGAGTTTGAAACTAAATCAAATCCCCCGTAAAAGTGCCACCGCTTCAGATGAGTTTGTGCGTCTCGACCATTGACAACAATCTATCTATTCTAACATTTGACCAAGACGGCACCAAGGCGATTGTGCTCGGAACTTCCTCCTCTAGATCATCCGATTCCGGTTGACCCCCTCACTAGTCTATGGAAGGCCACGGTTGATGAATACCTGTATCATCTCGACCGGTCCGTCGCACTGAGAACTCAGAACATCCCTCGATATCACATGTGTGTATTTATGCTGTGCTTGTTAGCAATTTTCTAATTACAAGCTCCTTCAGCTCAGATACCAATTCCAGTCGAGTCGCAGTTCTCTTCTCTGGAGGAATAGATTCAACAGTTATAGCTTTTCTTGCTCACCGGTCAGGGTCTATATCAACCTAAATTGTGCATTTGACGTTAACATTATGTGGCAGACACCTTCCTGTAACTGAACCTATCGATTTACTAAATGTTGCCTTCGAAAATCCTCGGACATTAAATGGCAGCATCCCGCCCTCTTCCAAAAGAAATAGGAAATCCAAGAGCGACGTGCCATCATCTACAGTCCCCGATAGTCAGAAATATATGGTTCCAGATCGCATTACAGGATTGGCTCAGCTGGAAGAGTTTAAGAGGCTGGCACCTGATAGAATATGGAATTTTGTTCGTCTTATTCCTATAATAAAAGATGTCGCTTACAATTAGGACAGGTGGAGATCAACATACCGTATGAAGTATGCCGTTTTACTTGGATGCATTATGCACCCTAACTAGGTATCAAGGAATCTACAGCTCATCGTGAGACCATCGAACAGCTAATGGCCCCATCAAAAACAATTATGGACTTTGTATGTTCTCTCAATGTGTCTACCTGGGCACGTACTAATACTATTGATGTTTCAGTCTCTCGCGCAAGCACTATATTTTGCATCTCGGGGAAGAGGACATCTCAGAAAAGATGAAAGGGACGACGAATTCTATGAATCTCCAGCACGAGTAATACTAAGTGGGCTCGGAGCCGATGAGTTGATTGGTGGCTACATACGACACAGGAACGCTTTCAAGCACGGCCAGTGGCAAGGCCTCCTCGATGAGGTAAAGTTCCATCTTTCCCATTTGACTGTCAGATATCTGATGCCTAAAATTAGCTTCAACTAGATGTAGATCGAATCCATACTCGCAACCTGGGTAGAGATGATCGGGTCATAGCGTCTCATGGCAAAGAGACCAGATACCCCTATCTTTCCCTAAGTTTGATTGCCTTTCTCTCAAACCTGCCCATATACCTCAAAGTTGATCCGAGAGTTGTGGCCGCAAACGGCCAGGATGAAGAGTCAACTAACCGGGATGAAACAATTCCATCTGGTCTGGTAATAGCTGGACTACCTGGCGACAAATTGTTACATCGACTCGCTGCGAGACAACTCGGACTGGAAGGTGCTGCCAGAAGGGCGAAACGTGCAATGCAATTCGGGAGTAGGAGTGCTCGAATGGAAGGAGGGGAGGGTAATAAAAAGATCAAGGGTACTGCATCGTTGAATTAAATTAGAATAAGAATACATATGAA